TTGTATAGGCCACATCGCATTCAATAAGCCACTACGATTCTGAATGGAAGTAGAATGCGTGCCGCATCCCACGAAAGGGATTGATTAACGGCGAAGACTATCCTTTTTTATCCCATTCTCTGGCAGTTGAAGCCAGTTTTCTTCGAACTTCTCCCTCTGACCTAGACTGGGCCGGAATACCGCCCATTGGGGCAGTTTGATCTGCTGAACACGAATGTTAATCTGCCTATACAAAAACACGCAATGCATGTGCCACGGGCAGCGGCACGGAAACTAGCCTGTGACATAGATGTGGATGGTAGGGTTGCCAGGCGCCCTGGCTTTGAACGAGTGCGATGTTCTTGTCCAGGAGATCAAAAGGTTTATGGCAAATCTACTGCTAGGGAAGAACTTGGATCAAAAAGTGGCCTGGATTCACAAGGGCGGCGCAAAAAATGATAATTCTGTGAGAACGTTTCGTTTATTTTTCTCCTCTGAAGAGTCTTTGTGTCACTAGCACACACCTCGGATATTTTGACCCTGCATTGGTAGGAAAAGCATGCAATCAGCGCTATCTATGGCGCTGTGGAGTACAAGATTAGATGGGCTAGGCACGCTTCACAATTGTGGATAACCACGGGGTCAGAGCCTTTTTGACAGGATCACTCAGAGTTTCGTCGCTACGTACAAGCGAGCCCCATGGAACATATGCTTCCGCCGTCTGCAGGTTAGGCCTGTATGTAAATCTAGGAACCGGGTTGACTATTTGCTTCGATTTTTTTACTTCTAAGACCTTCTCAGTGTAACGCGAATGGACGGCTTGGGTGCGTGCCTTCTGGTGATCAAGCGGAGTCACAGCGAGAGTGATGTACGGCTACCGATTGAGTCTTCGACGTTAGTGAAATAAAAAATGAAGTAGCGTTTTACTTGAATGCATATTTTCATAAATTATGGGGTACAGCCGGTGTTCGAGTGAAATCGTCAAATTCAGTCCAACTTACTATCAGTTGACTAATCTTCGAACGAGCCCTTGGCTCTCTCGATTTAGCTGAGGGGCAGTTAGCTCACCTTGGACATTTCATGTCGGTGCAAATGAGAAACGTTTTCGTTAGTTGTAAATGCTCTACAAATTTGCTCTAAGCCACCGCCAACTAAAACTCTCGGATAAAACATGTAGTCCTTTGCTGCAATCGTTGAATTTCATGTTCCATCCAATCATCATGAATACCGTATTTCAGTGGAAGGTGCGCGCGGGCTGTATCTGAAGAACCATGTTACCCTGGATGCGTATGCGACAGTGGTTCTTCACGGGAAGGGTTCTTTACGCAGTCGTGCCATCACGGAGCAGGTGAACACAGAAGGAGATTGCCGATGGGATGAACACTGCGAATTGTAGGTGGAGTTCATTTTGTGGCGCAGTGCGTCGGGTACGAGGGGGGGGGGCATTTTGCACTTCTGCTGCTTCCCATTGACGTGTTGAGCCATCAAGTAGATGCCTGTGAAGTCTTGTGAACCACGAAATGATACCAGCCAAAGTTCGTAATGACCTTCCAGCTCTTGTAAAGCAATAAAATACCATTCAGCATGGTGGCGAGACAAGCCTGCTCCGGCTTCACGAAAGTTCACAGGTTTCCCAGAGTGAGACTCGTAAGACCGAAGCTAGTGAAAGTGCAAAATGCCCCCTCGTCGCCGAACTGCGCCGATTTTGTTATAGAAGATCACAGTTAGATCTCAACTTTCAGCAAAGTCTCGGACAAATCTACACATATTACGGTAACCGTTCAGAACAAGACAAAGTTTGGCGGAGCAGGTAGCGTTTGCTATTCTTTGAAGCCGACAGGGCAGAGTAGGAAGGAAAACCAAGCTATGATTGATAATAAGTTTCAGATGTGATCGGCAAATGTGAGATCCCCATCGATCAAGCAAAGAAAGTTGGTGGGCACATGTGGTTTCCATTGAAGAAAAAACGAGATGATAGCAAGTATAGGTGAGAGCTTTAGTGCAGCGAAGGTGCATGCAGGGTACTTCCATTGATCAGCACGTGGTTCAAATCCGTGATTGTAGGGGCGAAGTCAACTTGCAGTTCACATTTTCCTATGAGAAGCCAACGCTGTCCATTTCTAACACATCCTTGAATAAAATTGAAAAAGGTAAGGTGCATGAAATAATCCGAGGTTGGAATTTTAGGGGCTATTTTCTGATTCCGTATAGTTTCTTTCGCTTTGTTTCCCGAAACGTGTTTTTTTTCACTGTTCTGCTGGAAGAGTAATTACATAATATACTACGCTCGAAATCGTGATGGTCCATCCCTTCAGGAGCCACTAATCGACTTCGGTTTT